ATCGATCGACGGTGACTTTGGTTAATCACCGGAGTTGATGGCTTTGGTTGCGGACTTGGAGAAACGACAATGAACGCTTCATTCCATGAGGTTCCTGAATACGACAACAAAAAAAAAAAAAAATCACCCACGCTAGTAACGCTCCACGTTTGCAGTCTCGATGATTATTATCCTCGAGGGGAATCACAACGTTTTGATGATGTCGACTGTTGTAGCACCCTTCTCTCCCTGCCTGTATATCTACATCGGGATCTCGAAGTACAAAACGTGTCGCTCTCTTCTTTGCCGACTGAACAGTCGGGAGGGTGTCATCTGTATGCGATGGATGGGTGATCGGCGCATGCAAGTGGAAACGGGAGAGATTCCAAGAAATAGAAGGCAGCTCTCTGAATCGGTTCTCCGGCGGCGGCTCTGAGTTTCCGGGTGAGCCGTGTCAGTGTCGCATGGGTGAGTTGGACCGTATGGGCTGCGGATTACTCGGCTATCTTCGCTTGAGACCCAAGAATGACTCGCATGAGCAAGCAGAAACTCGAGCTCAGAGGCAATCACGCCGCATGCTCCGGCCGACTCGGACGATCGACAGGTCGAAGTCGGATGATGAAAACGAGGGCGATTCCGAGGACTCGGCTCCTCCCCTTCGCAAACACATGCCGATTTTTGTTTTTCCTGTAGCCTAGAACTGGGAGTCGGCCTCCGCCGATTTCATTCCCGCATGCGTTCATGGGGCTTTCCACGTGTCTAGTATTCTGAGGCGATGATTTTGGCTTTACCGTATTCCAAATGCAAGAATTCCCTGTCCGGGAATGGTAGCTTAACACTGCTACTTCCTCCACTTGATTGATGCTCCTAGCAAAGTAGCAACCAACACCCAACTACCCTCTTGCGGGAGGCATGGCGAGTTGATGAAGTCGACGGGGTTGTGAGTATGTTGCCGAGTCCATAGTCAGTGAGAATGAACAGGATTTGGGGCTTCTCTATGAGATAATAGATTCATAGTTATCGTGTATGCTCTCTCCTCTGCCCAGGCTCGTCACGTACCTACTGGATGCGGCATGATTGCTAATTGCCGAGTGAGATGCCGAGTGCGGGTGCGGCTTGTACGTGCATATTTTCCACCAAGATTCTGGCCATTTTTACAAAACCATTAGCTGTAATATTGCTACATACAGCGCATGCGTGGATATTTCCTAAATGTAAGTGCCTTGAGATGACGCAAATGCATTCCCTTTTATAATAATTTTCATGCATAAATGTGTCCTTTCGAATTTGATGATGCATCCTCTATTTGCTCCTTTGCCGATGGCTCTCTGCCTACTGGGTGCTCTTCATATGGGAATGCATTCTTGAACGGAAAAGAGAATTCCACACCTTCCACCAAGCATTGACATGTACAGTAGATTTTTACTTTTCCATATACCATTTTTTTTTTATTTTTTGAGGTTGCATCCTGTGGAAAACTCTATTTTTCCTTTGAATGTCATATACTGTAGATATGCAGCTTCCATACGTTATATGTGTGAAAATGTAGAAAAATCCTTTTTTTCCTCCTTGATTGCCACGCACAGTGGATATTCACCTCCCATATGCCATGTGTAAAACATAACCATTGTGTAGGAATTTCCTTTTTCTTTGATTCTGGCCGACCACACTTCTATGGATGATGGTCTCGGATTTTCTTGCAATTGATCTGAGTCGGTGGGCTCAATTTTCTTGCTGTGATGGTGTTAGAATGTGTATACTGGGGAGTCTCTTTTAAAAGTCTCTTTTAACAACATATTACTTTATCTGGCTCAATATAATCAAGAGAAAAACAGAGAAAATGATTGTGACCACGGTGTCTACCGTTAAGGTCATGATGGGGGAACCATTTATTCGGCGTCCCAACTTCTTGATTCCCCCGGCCGAGTCCTTCAGTATGATGGACCGACCACTCTTCGCTAACAATTTTAATTTAAATACTACATCTATTTTAGATGATAATGGTTACCTCTTGTAGACCTCGATACGCAGTTTTCTTTGTTTGATTCTCTTCTAGTCCTCTTCTTGGTCCACGGTACTCCGTGAACCTTCTCAATCTTCCGTCCGTAGCGGACGCTCTCCGAAATTGCTCAGACAAAGAGGCAAACGTGACCTTTTGTCACGATCCCCACAGACGGCGCCAATGATGGTTTTTGGGTTTTCGGGCCCAAGGAGGTTCAACACAACCTTTGGTTGGAGGATACACCTTTCATAATAAGGCTACTAAAATAGAAGAAATATGACTCGATGATTTTTACGTGGAAACCGAAAGGTGAAAACCACGGGCCTTTTTGGGCGGTGCCAAGCCTAATTCCACTATGTATTTTGTAGGTGTCTTTGTACATGTTGTATGGCTATTTTGTATATAGAGATGGAGTATGCTTCTTTTGGTAGAATGGAGTCTTCTTGATAACCTTCTTGTTGTGTATGTGAAATTGCCTTCTCTTGGGAGAGTGGTGTAGTATTCTATGAGAGAAAGGATGGTGAGTGGGAGGATAATATTTGGGAGAGTCCTCCCATGTGTGTAGGTGAATGAGTGGATGATCCCCCTTTCTTCTTGTCTTCTCCTCCTTTTATAGCTAGCCCATCCCCAAAAGTGTCCGTTGGACCATTTAGTAGGGTAGTTAATAGGTATTAACTTGGTTATTAGTGGGGTAATAAGTGGGAGACTTAATAGGTAGCCTTTATTTGGGGGGTTATGGATGAGGTAGATAAATAGGACTTTTAAGGGTAGATAATTAGGAATAACGGCTAGTTAGTCCGACCCTCTACCCGTGCCGACCTCCGGGTTGAGCCGACTCCTGAGCCAACCGACTCCTCGGTTTGGCTCGTATCTCTTTTGGGATTGCTCCATTTTCTTCTTGGGCTTCCCTTCTTTGTCTGGGCTTTATCTCTTTTCTTCTTGGGCCCCGAGCCCACGGGGTTCACACCCCATCAACTAGTCCTTCACTTTTCTATGTCTCGTGCTTAGCAGGGCATGGAAAAGTATATTGTCTTGCCTCAAAATTTCCTTTATTAGCCCCCTCGATTTTTGCCGACTCTTTATTCAACATTCTACACGACTCCATCCTCATGACTTCTCTTTGTTTGCCGTATGACCGACTGCTTCAGTGGATGTGACCTTCTGGCTCTGAGCCCCTTCCTCTTTAGCCGTCGAAGTGAATCTCGGCTGTAACTTTTTCTTTCTTTAATAAACTTCTAAGGGTTCGAACCCTCGATTCCTTCTTTATTCGCCGAGTCCCTCAGTCGAGGCGACTCTTCGGTGGTAGCTCATTTTCCCTCTAGAAATGTCTAAGGGTCGGAACCCTTGTTTCTTTTCTCTCGTCGCCTTTTCACCGGAGAAGGCGACGAGATTTAGTTTTTTTTTTTTTTTTTTTTTTAATGTTTTAATTTAATTAATTTGATGGGAAATATACCCTGTGTTCAAGCTCCCCGTACGCTTTGTGCTCTTGTTTTATAGTCGGGTCGAAATTAAACGGTTCGGATCCCGATCTACGGGTCAAAGTGAAAGATAGCGAGTCAATCCTTGGGCCTATATAAGGGTCATTTACCCTCCTTTTGAGGGGCTCTCTTCTCTACCCTCTCCACTCTCTCTAAACACTTAAGAAAGAAAAGGCTTTCCTAGGCCAATTTCTCTCCATCTTCTCATTACAATTTACATACACTTCCATACATTCATGGAGTTTACACCTGCCTTATACACATCCTACACATTGGATAAAAGATCTCGAACAATTATCCACATCATAATTTAATTTTGAATTTAAAAAATTATTAATTACACCTCGTAAATGATGTTTTGACTAAGGTGATACAAATAGCAATATGAACTCCCATTTGACTATTTACACCACCTATGTAATTATGGAAAGTTTTCAGCTTTTACAATTTTAAAGTACTTTATACTCACTTTTGACTAAAGAGTGGTGCAAATAGCAACGCCTTTACTGTAAATATTATCTAAACTTAATTAAAAGTGTGTTACCGCAATATTCTCTAGGCCAAACGACGTCACTTTGCTTGGACGGAAAAATCTAAAGATTTGATTGACCAAAAGTTATGACTTCATTATATAGAAGAATAAAATGATAGAAGGATTGGTCTGAGATGTTAGAAATTACGGAGTAATTTATATTTAGTTATGATTATTCTATTTTAATTAAAGGATTTAACTCTATTTTAATTATATCAAGTTTGATATTGATGTATGTGGCGGGTTATGCGCAGAAGATGCATAAAATAGGAAAAGTGATAAGATTTTCAAATTCCTTTCAAGCTACGAATTGAAGAAACAAGCCAAGAGAGATCATATTAGATGGCTTGTGTTGCTTTAACTTCTCTCATTTCCACCATTGAGCTTGAATTTCTGGAACCTACCTCGAGGGTGAGGGTGTCTCTTCGTGATCGAGCACCAATCAAACCTTTGGTTGCAACCCTTTCTTCCTGGAAAGTCATTCTCCAGAAGGAATCCAGTGATGCATTGAAAGATTTGGAAATCCAAATCAGAGACTTTGCCCTCAAAGCTGAAGATGACATCGAAATACAACTTAGCAACTTTCTTGTAGCCAAAGACACGGAGCATGAAGAAGAAGCTTCCCAGGAACTCTGTCAAACCTTGCAAGAAGCGGCTGAAATTGCAGCGGGATTTCCGACAAAGAGGAACTGCGTGAGAGAGAGAGGGAGGTGACTTGTAATGCTTTAACTTCTCTCATCTCAACCATTCAGCTTCCGGATCTACAACAAACCCTTTTGGGGACACTGTCTCTCCATGATCGATCACCAATCATATCTTTCCTTGCAAACCTTTCTTCTTTCCAAGCCTTTCTCCAGAAGAAGAAGAAATCCAGTGGTGATGATGGTGGTGCACTCAGAGATTTGGAAATCCAAATCAGAGACTTTGCACTCGAAACAGAAGATGCCATCGTGTATAGAGAAAATGCTCCCCTTCAACTCGGTCAAACTTGGCTTGAAGCTGCAAAAAATACAACAGATATGTTGAAGATTCTAACTGGGGGAAAAGAGTCGTATGTAAGTGACAGAGAGATGGCTAGTGCTGCTTTAACTATTCTCATTGCAAAATTTAAGTATTACTTTTTGCAAATCTTCCCAAGTGTGTATGCTCGTGATAAAGCAACAATGATATATTTCTTAGCAAACCTTTATTCTCTGCAAGTCTGCTTAATGCAGATGAAATCCAATGGTGCTGCTGCAATCAAAATCAGAAACTTCGCACTCAAAGCTGTAAATGACATTGAAATACAGCTAAGCAACTTTTGTCTAGAGCGTGTAAGAAAAGCTTCCCAGATACTCCATCAAACCTTGCAAGAAGCTGCTGAAATTGCAGCAAAGTTGTTGAAAATTATCCACAAAGAACAGCATGAGAGAAAGAGGGTGATGACTTGTGGAATCAAATCCACTTTATTGGAACATTCTTCTATGCAAGTCTTTCTGAGATTAAATACTTTCATGACAAAACTTTATTATGACTTTTTGCATTCCACCCCTATAGTGCCTCTTGACGATGAAGCAGCAATGATATCTTTCTTCCAAAACCTTTCTTCTTTGCAAGACTACTTGCTACAGAAGGAGTCTAGTGGTGGTGGTGGTGCTACAATCAATGATTTGGAAACCAAAATCAGATACTTTGTAAGCAAGGTAGGGGATGACGTTGAAACACAAGTAAAAAATTTAGTTCAGGCCAAACACGACACTGAATATCAAGAACAAGCTTCCCAGCTAAATCAAACCTTGCAAGAGGCAGCTGAAACTGTAGCAGAGTTGTTAATGAGTATCAACAGTGAAAAAGAGTGTAAAACTGAGGTAGAGATGGCTTGTGGTGCTTTAAGTAGCCTCATGGGAACAATTGAAGAGTTTCTATATGCTGAAGTAGAAACGGAATCTTTCCTGAAGTCTCCTCATGATAAAGCTGGAATCAAATCTAATTTATTGGGAAAGCTCTTTTCTTTGCAAGTCTTTCTGCAGAAGGAATCAAATGGTGGAGGTGCTACAATGAAATATTTGGAAACTAAAATCAAAGACTTTACACTCAAAGCTAAAGATGACATCAAAATACAACTATACAATTTTCTTCAGGCCAAAGACACAGAGTATGAAGAAAAAGTTTCCCAGGAACTCCATCACACCATGCAAGAAGCAGCAGAAAGCGCAACAGAGTTGTTGAAGATAATCAGTAGATGCAATGAAGTTGATGACGCAAATGAAACTCAACCTTCAAATACTTGGTTAAAACATGCCTCCAGGTCTACGAATGTTGAGTTTGATGGATCCTCGCGTGGCCTTCTAATGCCTGGGGGCAGAATGGTTGGTCGTCACCATGATTGTACAGTGATAAAGGACCAACTATTTAGTTCTGAAGAACTAAAGGTAATCTCAATTGTTGGAATGGTGGGTATTGGAAAGACGACTGTAGCAAAAAATGTCTATGAAGATCCATCAGTTGCATCGCATTTTGATGTAAGAGGTTGGGTTACTATACCTCAAGACTACGATAAGAGCCGAATGCTAAGCGACCTTCTTCAGTCAATTACGCCAGCAGAGCGAAATGTAATTAACAAGAGAGGCACTCCAGATGAACTAGAAATGCAGGTACGTGAATGCTTACGTCGTTGGAGGTATTTAATTGTTTTGGACAACGTTTTGAGCAATCAAACTTGGACTGACATCATACAGTGCCTTCCTGATTACTGCCGTGGAAGTTGCATATTACTAACCACTAGTCACCTCAACCGATATAACTACCAAAACAAGTATATCCATAATATGACTTTGCTAAATCCAAAAGAAAGCTGGGAACTATTTTGTAATATCCTTTCTATTGAAGAGCACTTGGCCCCTAAGTTTGAAAAAATTAGGAACCGTGTTGTGGAGAAATGTGATGGATTACCTCAATTAATTGTTGAAGTTGCAAAGCGTTTATCTAAATGCAACAACATACAACAAGGGTGGAAAAAGATTGAAAAGGAATTAGAGTCATTGGGACTTCTAGATCGCAATGCACTTAGTGTTAGTTACAATATGTTGCCACATCATGTGAAAGTTTGCTTTCTATATTTTGGAGTCTTCCCAAAACGTAAAAGAATTCTAGTTAAAATGCTTATAAGGTTGTGGATTGCTGAGGGATTTGTGGAGCCATTGAAACATGAGTTAGAAGATCAAGCTTATGAGTACTTACAAGAGCTTATTGATAGAAGCCTTCTCTTAATTGAAGATCGAAGTTGTAACGGCAAAATAAAGACTTGTAGAGCGCACAGTGCCTTACATAGCTTCTGCGTAGGAGAAGCTCAAAGAGGAGGTATTTTATGTGCAGTAAATACTCAACAACATTCAGGATTGTCATTAAAAGAGTTTGCAAATTCCTGTCGTTGGTTAAGTTTTTACTCACATAGTTTTGACTATTATGTGCTCTTTGGTATAAACATCCCTCGCTCCATTTTCTTCTTTCATGAAAATCGTGAAACGTTTGTTCCTCCCAAGTTGTTAAGAGTTTTGGCTTTTGAAACTTCTATCTCACTTCAAAGAGTGCCAGTGCAATTAGGGGGCTTAGTTTTTCTGAGATACCTATCCATAACACAATGGTTTGAGGATCTGAATGATGTAATGTCAAATAATCCAAATTTAGAGACATTTGTTGTTTCCGGTAATGGAGCACCAACGGTCCATTTGCCATCCAGTGTTTGGAAGCCACCATACTTAAAGCATCTCGAACTTGGAAATTCATATATGGTAGATCCTCCATGTGCAGATAAAACGAATTTACAAACATTATCTTGGGTGGTGAGACCACTTCATTGCAGAAAACAGGTGTACAGCAAGTTCCCTGACATAAAAAATCTGAAAATTTTGCTGAAGGATGACATAGAGTCCAGTCACATTGGAGGAAGGTGCAGCAATCCTATTATTTTGGATCATTTTGACTATTTGAAAGCGGTTGAGAAGCTTAGCATTTCGGTTTCTATTGGTTGCAATGCTGCCCTTCCAGAACAGTGTATGTATCCTTCAGGACTGGAGAAGTTGAAGTTGAGTGGGACTAATATTTCTGAGAGGGATTTAAATGTAATTGCCATGTTACCCCAGCTTAAGGTGCTCAAGTTGGAAAATGCCTTCCATGGAACAGTATGGGAAGTAGCTGAAGGAGGATTTCGTCAATTAACATTCTTGCTCCTTGAAGCTAAAGAACTCAAGCAGTGGGTAGCTAACTTCCGTGAACACTTTAAGGAGCTCCGAAACTTAGTCTTAAGATCTTGTAATTGTTTGGAACAGATGCCAAAGGGTTTTACAGGTTACAAGTTGGAGTCAATTGAGTTGGAGGGGTGTCACTCTTCCCTTGTTGCTTCTGCCATGCAGTTACAACAGAAGAGAAGATCCAAGGATCTTGAGGTTAGGAGCTAAAGCAGTTTCATTCTTAATTTTTATTTGTTTTCTATTCAATGCTGATTTTTTATTTTTTTTTACAAAATCGGTTACTATTTTATTTTTCTGATCTCATTTTGTTTTCTTCGTTATTTTTCGCAGATCAAAATTTTGGACCCTAAATACGATGAATCACTAAATACACATACACATACAGAGGTGTCTATGTAAGATGACTTGGGCAGCCTCATAGGATATACCTATTAGAAAATGGTATGTGTTAGGTTACAAGTGCTGATTTTTCAACTGTGTAAATTATGCATTTAGAATCAGGCTTGTATAGTTGTATATACAAAATACAAATTCATATTTATAATTTAGAACAATATCATTCTATAACCAAGTTATAACCTGAAAGAACATCAGGGGTGGGGTTGGGAATGGTTTTGCTTACTTGTACAGATATATTGAAGGTTTAATTTGGTTGTTTCCTTGGACCTCAGCTTTTGAAATGTGCAGTCAAGATGACACTATGATCTAATTCAATAACATAATTGAAAGCAGTATTGCTTAACCTGGTTTTGTCACTGTAGTGTTGTCAAGGCGATTAAATAGCTAACGTAGTTACTTTCTTTGGTTAAAAGTTAATGATTCCTCATGAAAACTTACTACGACGTCATTTTGCATGATTACTACTGCAGAGTATCCAGAAGTTGGTAATAGATGGTACTAAAACATGGGCTCAAGAGCTTTCTGTCAAACACAGTGGTTGACTTTTTATCACCAAACATTGTGAAACAGATCTAATTTTGATGTTCCGTACGTCTTTTTGAAGAAATCATGTTGGTGACTGGGGCAAGCTGCCTGCCAAGCAGGTAAATTCATATTTCATCTAGTGCCTATATGAGATGATTAATATACTACTTTACATCTATATATGTTTCTGTTTTGCAATTAATCCCAAGTACAAATATGCGTTTGCAGATTGGTATATGCTAATTGAATACCATTTTGAAAAATTGTCAAGCTAGGAAGCTGGCTGGAAGCTGCTAGTCTCAAGTATTGAAGATCTAGAGGTAAGGAAAATTGCTTGGTTATTGCCTTCTAATAGAAGGATATGTTCTGTCTAAACTTGGCTGATTAATATTGATTTGAAAGGCTAAGTATACTTCTAAAACCTTCTTCATGAGATTGATTACATCCATTTCATGCATTCTGTAAGGTATTAAATCAAATATTTTACTGTGATCTTGGTTTCTAAATTCTAAGAGAGCGCTTTCAAATCCTGTAGTTAGTTTTCAAGTGATTTTTTTTTTACCATTTTCTTATAAGCTACTGAATGCTCTAGACTACAGATGCATCATGTTAACAGAGAAATTTTATTAGGCTGATCAGCTGATGTTTCTTTGTACTTTAATTTCATAACTATTGAACCACATTCATCAACTACTAATTATATTCTATTAATTCGATGATAAAATAGGATTACTATTTCAGTTAGGAAAAATACCTAGGATAAATGGACTAAACGTTCAATTTGCCAACAACTAAAGTATGGAATAAAAAATGGGGAAGCTGTATTTCTCTTGAATCACAGAATGAAATTATCTCACAAAACTTACACCTCTACAGTTGCTAAGAACTCTGCAATTTGTTTTTATGATAATGTGTTTCTTGCATCCTTTTCAGTGTAAACAGGGTAGTGAGGAGAGTTTGAAAAGGTTTACCAGTGACTTGGAGAATGGCTTCTATGGAAAAGTATGGAAGAGTTGCTTTGGTGTTTAACAGACATTTTGAGCCTGCGGTCAATTAAGTTGGATCAGTTGTTGCTTTTGCTAAGCAGATTTGAGACTGGCAAGTTGAAATGGGGAACTGCATTTTTGAGGTTAGAATCTACAGCATGTGATCGATTCTCAATTATGTAATTCTTTGCTATTCCATATGGATGCTAACTTTCTTTACAAACTTGTTATTATTTCTTTTTTTTTTTGATTTGATCTCATTTTGTTTTCTCTATTTTGCACTATTTTTTCATAGATCAAAATCCCTGAATATGATGGATCACAGATAGAAGAGTCTGTACTAGGCGACTTGAATTGGTCTGGCTCACAGTGAATTAAAATGGTATGTGTCAGGCTTCATTTGTCTTCGTACCTGCATGCCAAATGAAATGAAATGGTGTTGCTGCCTTGTTGAGATAATTGAAGGTTACAAATGATAATTGCTCTTGATTGACAAACAAAGTTTTAATGGAAAAATCAAGACTTGAAGAATGTATAGTGATTTGAGGGGATTTAGTTTTTCTAAGATACCTATCCATAACACAATGGTTTGAGGGTATGGATGATGTAGTGTCAAATAATCCAAATTTACAAACACTTGGGGTTGCTTTTAACAATGAATCACAATTTGGAGCCACAACTGTGCATTTACCATCCAGTATTTCGGAGGCACCACGGTTGAGGCATCTTGATCTTGACAATATGTGGATCCTCCAAGCATGGTTAAAGAGAATTTGCAATCATTATCTTGGATGGTCAGACCAATTCATTGCAGAAGAGAGGTGTATCACAACTTACCTAACATAAAAAAAAAAAAAAAAAAAAAAAAAAAAAAAAACTGAAAACTTTCTTGAACGATGACATAGATGCCAATCACACTCGTGGATCTTGCAGCAATCCCATTGTTTTGGATTATCTTGGCTATTTGGAAGAGCTTGAGAAGTTAACTATTTCTGTATAAGTTGTCTGTGCCGTAACCTTTACAGAAAGGTCTATGTTTCCTTCACAATTGAAAAAGTAGAAGTTGAGTGGGACTAATCTTTCTAAAAGGGATTTGATCGTAATTGGCATGTTGCCCCAACTTGTGGTGCTCAAGTTGGAAAGTGCCTTCCATGGAGCAGTATGGGAATTATCTGATGGAGGATTCCATAAATTAAAACTGTTGTTGCTTGAAAATAAAAAACTGAATTAAAGTGGTGGGAAGCCTGCCATAATCACTTTCCAATGCTTGAGCACTTAATCTTAAGATTCTGCAATTGTTTGGTTGATATCCCTCTGGGGTTTGCAGATATTCTCACCCTGAAATCAATTCAGTTGGAGTGCTGCAGTTTCCCTTATCACTTCTGCCAAACGAATTCAAGAAGAGCAACAAGATTGTGGAAACGATATTTTAGAGGTTAGAAGCAAAAGTGCTACTCAGTCTTGAACTCTTGATTTTTTACTCTGTATTTCTTTTCTATTCAATGATGATGTTATGTGCTCCCGTCATGGGCAAGAAAACATAAGGAAAAAGAAAGAAAGAATAATAATTGGAAAAGGAAAAGAAGAAAACACTGGGTTTGCTTGAAACCCAAAACTCCCTTTGACCCTGTTTGGGATTGAATTTCTGCTTGTCATTATTCTTAATAATACTCCCTTTTTATAGGGTAAAGTACAACTCATAGAATGACTAAATAATCTAAGTAATCTGCTGAAATCTTCTAAATAATTAAACTACCTAAATTAATTCGAAGACTAAGAATAATAAGGTAAATAACTATTTAGTAATTTCTAAATAACTATTTATTAGTTTCTAAATAACTATTTAGTAATTTATTAATATCTAAACTATGGAATATAATAAAATAAGACTTCCTCAGAGCATGTATCAGATGACTTTCTTTACAAAATCAGTTACTATTTCTTTTTCTGATCTCATTCTGTTTTCGATCTACATTGTTGTTTCATAGGTCAAAATCCCGGGCATTGTATATGATGAATCACAGAGTACAAATACACAAGTGTCTGCAGAAGAAGACTTAGCCAGCCTACCTCACCCTCTTGGAGTGAATTACTGGTAATGTACTGTTGTTACAAATGATACATGGACTCCTGCTTTCAAATCCTGTAGTCTGTTTTCAGGTGATGTTCTTTTTTTATCCATATCATTTTATTTTATGCTATTGAATGCTTTAAACTATAGATGCATTGTATTCTTGAAATAGCTTAGCTTCCAGAAAAATTGTATTCTTAAATAAATATGCTTTTCCCCAACAGAGAATGAAATGTTGTTTAACAGAGAGATTATGTTAGACTGATGTTGCTTTGTATTTTAATTTCATAACTATTCAACCACATTCATCAAATGCTAATCATATATCAACCACATTCCTATTTCTGTTAGGAGTTTTATGTGTTTCTTTAAATCTGCAAATTTATAGATATGGATATGGTGAAGAGGAAGTAGGGTACATGATATACATTACTATGGACAACATAAATTCATGTGTATGTACACAGATATGTCTCTGCCAATTATTGCTGTAAATTTTTTTAGCATTTTATGTTAAGCAACTCATTCTCTAGACTACAGACGTATTGTATTCTTGAAACGGCTTGCAGAAAAATTGTATTCTTCAAAGAAGTTGCAGAGCCTGTGGAATAAGCATGTCTTTCCCCAATAGAGAAATTATTAGACTGATGTTGCTTTGTATCTTATCTTTGACAGACAAATAGTTTCTCCTTTGCAGGCGATTAAAGATGATTTCGAGCCCTATGTCACTTGTAGATCGGGAAGGGCTACATCCATTACGATGAAGAATGTTTGAGGTTAGAAGCTACGTACAACATGCTTCATTCTTAACTTTTTAAGAAGGTATGATTACGTAACATGAGGTTAGAAGCTACGTTTGGCACCCGACTAGCGCCTAACGTATTTTGTAACCTTGTGAATAACTTATCTTTATAAGAAGCTAAGAAGGTATGATTACGTAACCAACAACCTTACCAATTCAGTTAAGGTTAAGCCATTTATCGACTACTCTCTTCGTTCAATGCCCTGGTAGGTAATGCATTACTGACTGGACTATGACATGCCATATCAGGCAAATTATTGTGTGGATCATGGTCCATATACTGTTATATGGACCATAACAAAAAAAAAATACATTTTTAATATACTAAAAGTACATTATTTGTGTATTAAATGTATATTATATAAAATAATGTATTTTTAGTACTCAAATAATGTACTTTTTCTGAATATAATGTACATTTTTAATATACAAAAAGTATATTATTTGTGTACTGAATGTACATTATTTGATAGCATGGTCTATCTATACAACTATATAATTGATAATGCTCTTGCGTTATTGCACTTCATATAGTGCATCAATACATGCCTAAATGCTATTCCAACCACACAATTGTAAATTCTTATTTGATGTATATTATATATAAAATAATGTATTTTTAGTAATCAAATAATTTACTTTTTTTAAATATAATGTACATTTTTAATATACAAAAAATATATTATTTGTGTATTAAATGTACATTATTTGATAGTATGATCTATAGTCTATACAACTGTATAATTGATAATGCACTTGCGTTATTGCACTTCACATAGTGCATCAATACATCCGTAAATGCTATTCCAACCACACAATTGTAAATTCTCGATTAGTGTATTGGTTAACAATTAGGATTAGTGCATTGTATTTGTAGTTTTGACTAGCAAATTGTTTTAATCATTTGTAGATAAATATTTGATAAAAGAAATTAACTGTTTATAATTCATAAAAAAGGATTAACATGCAAAAAGTAAAATAAAATAAAATAAAAAGACATATAACATGTGTTAAACTACTTATCGCACAACTAGCCCATCAACACTTACCCAGCAATTATATTGTGGACTGCGGTCCACAAAGCTTTGTGGACCATGATTCAAAAAATGATGTTGTTTCTTGAAGTAAAGAAACGTCACTCGTTATAGTTTAATGGAGTGTGTATTTTTTGTGTGTTAATTATCAAATGAAACTACAGTTTATCTAAATTGACATTGACTCACGTATTAGTTTTATACGATCAAATGAAATTGCAATTGAATTGAAATGAAACTGTAGTTGTGTTGAAATGAAACTGAATAACAATTTCACATATATGAGTGTATATTGTGCAATGAAACTGTAGTTATATCGAAATGATAATGTAGTTGTGTTGTAATGAAATTATAGTGTATATAAAATGAAACTGAATAACAGTTTTACATATTTGAGTGTATAATATCGAATGAAAATGTAGTTATATCGAAATGAAATTGTAGTTGTGTTGAAATAAAACTGCAGTGTATGTAAAATGAAACTGAATAAATTATACAATCAAAATTATTTTTTGCGGACGGCGTGAAACGGTGCGGAACAGGTGCCGTTTCTTTTCATTAAAAGAAACAACACTGTTTTAATGCCTGGACCACAATGCATTATGGACCACGGTTCACGGTATAATTTGCCACACTTACCTTACTGTACTTTGGCTGCCTCAATTCAACACTTCACTTTATAGTTTATATACTTTACAACAAGTAAACACACTGAGATTGCGAAAGAGAGATGACTTGTGTTGCTTTATTTTCTCTCATCAGAAAATCAGAAATGAACCACACTTAAAACTATACCTGAAAATGATCATTTTACATACCAAATTAAAATAGCTAATTTTTCTAACAATAAGCGATATTAATATGGGAAGCAATTGTGGCTATCACAGAGTCTAGTGCCCGAGAGGCTTTCGTCAATGGCATTCCCTCTATCACTTTATCATATGATCGACTGGGTTTATGGAAAAAGCAATGTTGATGACTTCACACTAAGCTAGCTGCTCAGGCTTTCATACCCCATCATTACTGCTATATTGGCTGATATCAAGAATCATACGTTTCCTCTTAATTGTTTTCTCAATATTACTGTGCCAACGGATGTTCTAAACAACAAGGGTTATCGCCTCACTATGCAAAGCAAAAAAACAAAAAAACACACACACACACACAAAAAAAAAAAAAAAAAAAAAAAAAAAAAAAAAAAAAAACAATAACAAAAAAAAAAAAAACAATAACATATTGTTACGTGAAGAGTTAAAATCAAGAGGAAAGTGTATCACCACTCTTATAAAGTAGCTTTGATAATGTTAGTTGTCTTTTAAGCAATTCATTAAAGCAAAATTAGATGTCAAAGTCACTTTTAGTTCAACAATAGTAAGTTATTTGTACATCAGTTTAAATAAATCCAAAAAGTGAAGAACTTTCATGGTTCCCTACAGCACTACAACATAGGCAAATTATATTATGGACTGGTCCACATTGCAATGTATATTATAGATAAATGTTTATTTTTAGTATATTGGATCACAATTTCATTTTTAATTTATTGAATATTGATTTTTAATTTACTGAAAGTTCATTTTTAGATAATGTACCAAATAATAAACATTTCCATACACAAAATTAAAAATGAATTATTTTAGATAAAGTTAAAGTCAAAGTCAAAGTTAATTGAAAAATATGTTTCATTACATTTAATTTTAAAATTGTTCATTAATCCATAAATAACAAAGTGAAGTAAATCCAACTGCTTCACTAACAGCATATTTGGTTCACGGAATGAATTTGGAGGGAATATGAATATAATGTTATTCTATAGAGAATGGAATAGGTAACAAATAGAACATGGATTGTATTCTATTGTTTGGTTCACTAAATGAATAGACTTTAGGAATTGTATTCCAGTGTTTGATTAGTTAAAGGAATATAAATAGGTGCATTAGATGTAGTAGCTTCAGGTTGTGGCCATGGTGGTGTTTGTGTCAGCAGATTAAAAGAAGGGGTAGGAATCTCCGTAGTCATGTTCTTTAACGTGGCTATGAAAGCTGCTTCAAGCTCAGCAACCGCGTCTAGGAAGCTCGATTGGTTGAACAGATCGTCATCCCTCAGCAAGCTCTTTGGTGGGGTTAGATTTGGGCTCGGTGTGATGTTTGCTGGTGGGAGAAGTTACTGAATACATTTTTATTATTTTCGCAGCAGAGTTATGTGTCCTAATCTCTGCCATAACCTCTCTAAACTCCACAATGCTCGAGGCCATCTTCTTCAAAGCCTTCGTGACTCTTTCAACTATTCTAGTTGCACTGGTGCTTGAGTTGGTGGCTCATCCAGTTGTGTTTTCCTCTCAATCACCTTGCCATTTCCATATCCCCCTCACATCCTGTGTGGTCCAAGCAGTGATGATGAGACAGATTTTTATCACAATTTATCTTCTGACCTGGACTTTGTCTAGGTATGCTAGCTTTAAAGGAAAAAAAAAAACACACACACACATATAAGTATCATTTTTTACAATGCAATGTACAGAATTTTATAGCAGAATACACATAAACTCTTAACATAATACATATAATCATAAGCCTAAGTAATACGGAGTATCTTTTATGTCTGATGAGGTATGAAATTGAAATTAATAATGTACAGAATTTTATAGAAGAATGCACATAAACTCTCAACATCATAGACATAAACATAAGTCTAAGAAGTATATACTCTATGTCTACTAATGAATGGAATTGAAATTTATAATGTACATAATTTTATAGTGGAATACACATAAACTCTCAACATAATACACATAAACGCAAGTCTAAGAGAATATCTTTTATGTCTGCTGAGATATGGAATTGAAATTCATAAAGTAAAGAATTTTATAGTGGAATACACATAAACTCTCACCATAATATACATAAACATGATTCTAAGAAATATTCTTTATATCTGCTGAGGTATGGAATTGAAAATCATAATGTACAGAATTTTATGGTGGAATACACATAAACTTTCAACATAATACACATAAACATAAGTCTAAGAGAATATCTTTTATATCTGCTGAGGTATGGAATTGAAATTCATAATGTACAACAAATTTTACCAGAATACACATAAACTCTCAACATAATACGGATAAACACAACTTTTATACACATAAACACAAGTTTACCATTAAGACATAAAATTCATACAAAGAATACACATAACTTCATACTATCAAGAAAGTGGCGGGTCCAACAAATGCTGAATCTTGTTTCTTCTTCCATAGCTCAGCAGTGTCAAGGAGATATTTGATCGTGCAACCACACGAGTTGAGATCTTTGATTTTATTCACGTCGAGTAGTGTTGATTTTAACAAGAACAAGAAAAAATAATAATGGCAGGTAAGGTAAAGAAGACAAGATTTACGTGGTTCGGCAAAGTGCCT